CAGAAGAAGAAAGAAAAAAAAACTCAGATAAATACCAGAAGAACAAATTTCAAAAAGGTTGGAAGCTCACGAACTTGGAGAACACGGCCTTCGTTCTCTCTTTTTCTTACGTTTTTGCTTTCCATTTTGCATGCTTCATCATAAATCATCGTTTTTTGCTACATCTTTGACTTAGGGTTTCCGTCCACCTCTCTTTAGATCTAGAGCTTTAGATTGAGAATCTGCAAAAATTAACTACAGATTAGTAATTAGGGAGAGGAGACGATCAGGTTTATGTAAGAAAAATAGCGTTTGGAGTCACGCCGCCGCCGTCACCGCCGTAAGGCGATTTCCAGCGCGGCCAAGTTGCCTTCTCCGGTGAAGGTCTTCAACGAGAGAGAAGAGAGAGAATCGTGTGAGGAGGGTTTGAGGAGAGAGAAAGAAATGAGAGTTATGAAATTTGTTGTTCATTTACTTAATTTTGTTTTTTCTGTTAATTACTCCCTTGGCCCAATCCGGTGGTGACACTTGTCACCACCCCTTAATCATTATGAGGGATCATACGCATGCACCCCCATGTTAGTTATTTGTGCACCCTCATCATCCCTCCGTCTGTTTCATATCATCATCTATCAATGCTCTTTAGCGCACCACAGGTGCACGCCAACGGTGCACCTCTAGGGGACTGCTGCACCTGATCATCCAGAAGCATTGGGCTTTTGATTTCTACACCCCCAGATTTACTCCAATGCAGGTCCATTTCTAAACTTTACCTTTATATTTTTGTTTTTATTATTTTTTATTATTTGATTTTTGTTTTATATTTCAACATATATTTAGAATTGCAAATAGGTTAATATTTTTTTAAAATAATTATTAACTTTAAAATAATTTTTGTTTGACATTATTAATTAAATCATTAATTAATTTTATCAAATGAAAAGAGTTTTAACTTAAATAATTATTTAACGGTTTAGAATTGTATCGTGTGATTTAAATGTTTATTTCTTATTATCACCCCCATTCATTAATGTGTACCCCCATTTCCGAAGCTCTGTAATAGCGTAGAATTTCAATTTCCGTATTTTACTGTTTTACTTATTACTGTATAGTAATTAGGTGTGTATGGCAAGATTTAAAATCAATCGCTAGATAACCTAATTTCAAAGATTAAATCAACTTGAATCAAAAACACTTTTCACACGCGCACCTCTAGGATAGCCTCGCTTGTTGCCTCAAAAACACAGTCATGTCCCTCGAATATGGGATGCTTTAGCAATGACCCTTCGATAAAAAAAGATCATAGTCTCTCGATGACCCTCGACTTTGCCTTCGATAAAACGATCTAGTCCCTTACGAAAATTGCTAAAGCGTCTCATAAGTTGCTTTCGATGATAGTAAAATTGACCCGCGCATATCCCTTTACATCCAACGATGGGGCTTCTTACCAAATCAATGGTAAGATAGCAATATCAAAAGGAGGAAGAAAAGAACATTTGAGACCTTTCGAGTAGGTAGATTCGCTCCTAGTTGCTCGCTTGCTCATGACAAAAACATTTTTACAGCAACACTTTCATCTCAAAACATTTTCAAAAGACAAGACCTTTTGTATACGTTCTTATAGAGACGAGAACCATTGCAAAACATCTTTTCAAAAACCACTTTCCAAAACACAATCCACAAACACATCTTTGAACTATCTTTCGAAACAAAACTTTGTACGCGTTCTTATAGAAACGAGAACCATTACAAAGAGATTTTTCAAAACACTTTCAAAGCCCACACCACAAGCACACTGTCAAAACAAAAGCAAGTGATCTAAGCGAGTAACTAAGAGCCCATGGAAAACCATGGATAAAAAGGATACTAATACCTTCCCTTTTCATAATCTACCCCCCGAACCCGAGAAATAATCTCGAAAAGTCTTTCATGTGCTTTTTTACCTTTCCTTTTGGATAAAAGAAAAGTCAGTGGCGACTCTTGCTATCTGCACAAATGCGATCAAAACGCAAAACATCAAGTCAGTTCTCCCACCGTATCACACATACCATGTTCCCTTAGGATATGTTCGCTCCTTTCAGATGCAAGTTAGACCTTAGGTTGCAAACCATGCATGCTAACATTAGAGAGATGTTTCCTTTTTGTTAATCCAAACTTTAGGACCACCATTGTATGATAACATTAGGTTAGAAATAGGCTAGTCTCCCTTTAGACTCTTTTCTTCCCTTTTTGCATCCTTGCATTTAAAACTAAAGCTCTTTTTCTTAGCAAATAAAAAATATGCTAATCGCACTTAAACCCTTTTCCAAGGTAACAAAACACAAACCAATCAAATGTGGCATCTTGCCTCGAGGGCGTAACTCGAAACCCTTTTCAGATAAGGACATGATTAATTTACTTCTATGCCAACGTGTAAGTCTCCAAAGGTCGAGTTGTGGCAGAAGACGAAATTAACATTGTTCATAAAAAACACAAAACAGACAAAACATGTGAGCCGAACTACGGTAGCTCTGATTCCTCAAAAAGGATAAGTAGGCATTAGGGCAGGGCCCAAGCGAGTACAACTTTATTTTCTCTACATTCTTTTCTTCTTTCTTTTGCATGCATTCTCCCTTTAGTAGTAGTAAACAGTAAGCATATTTTAAACACACTCATAAGATAGATAATAAGAGTGGATACCGTAGAGTACTACGGGCGTGTGGGGTGCTAACACCTTCCCCTCGTGTAACAGACTCTCTTACCCGATCTCTCGGTCGCAAGACCGAGACTTCTTCCTTCTCAGGTTTTCTCAGTGTTTACCTTTCCCTTCATGTGGGATAAAAGACGTTCGATGGCGACTTTATTGTTTGATGATTTTCAGTCGGTTGTTTCACCGTCTTACGACAACAGAAACACCTCTTCACCTCAGCAGTACACACATTGCTCTTATGACCAAGTTTTCCACATTTAAAATAAACCACACTAACAGGAGCATCTCACCCACTAATTCTCTGACCCTGAACAACTTTTTGTTTACCTCTACCAACTGAGGCATCGTAAGGCTCACCACGGTTATGTTGGTGCTTACCCCTCTTCTCATTGATAATCTTATAGTGAGCATTATTATCCTCTTCATAAATCCTGCAACTATCAATCAAATTGGCAAAGACACGATACACTTGATACACTTTGAAAACTCAACATTTACCTAGCTGTAGTGCGGATAAAACTTAGCCAACTCAGCAAACTTTGCAGCATATTTAGTAACCGACATACTCCCTTGCTTCAGCTCAAGAAACTCAATTTCCTTCTTGCCACGAACATCTTCAGGAAAATACTTTCTCATTAATTCCCTACGAAACATAGCCCAAGTGACATTTTCACCTGCAGCTTCCAATTTCTGACAAGTCTCTACCCATCAGTCATCAGCCTCAACTGCTAGCATATGAGTACCATAACGAACTTTCTGCACTGGAGTGCAGTCCATCACACAGAAGATTCTCTCAATCTCTTTCAACCAATCCAAAATAATTTTTATATTTAAAACATAAAACTCTTTTTTTTATAATAATTGATGGATCTATTATATTTGCGGTATAAGATACTGTTTTCATTTATATATTAGTTTATTCTCTCTCTTAAGATCAACTCACATTTATTTTGTGAGGTATAATATTACGGCGTAACACCAACATTGTTGATTTTTGGTGTAAACATAGCAGTTCTCTTATATATGTGATTGCATCCTCCCTCCAGTTTATCCAGACCTGCTCAATGGCATAGATCACCAACTATAATTCTAACCTTCATATGTTTAGTTATAAGCAATAATATTTCCATTTTGCGTACTTTTTCATTGGCATGGAAGAAATAGTAATGAGAGATAAGGACTTATACAAAGCTATGTAAATCTTCCATAATCTGCCCATGAAGAAAGAAGGACACGCTTCACCAATCACCATCACCTCCCTAAAGGGTTTTTTAAGTTTACAAATCAGCCCTTTTTTGTCCCTAGGTCAATATCTATCATAGCATTCGAAAACTTAAAGGAAGTGAAGATAATTCAAGAAGTAGAGAAAGATTAATTAATTACATTTATCTTATATATAGGCCTACACAGCGTCTCAAATGTCCTTACCATTAGTGATTCCTCTACATCAAGAAAAAATTATATTCTCAACCTTATTGTAAATACATTTGTTACTTTCATTTACGTTAAACTTATTCGAGATAATCAGATTAACAAACTATTCACATTATTGCTTTGGAACTTGTTTAAAACTAGACAAAAACTTATCTAACTTACAATTTTTTTAGTCCATGAATGACAAACCTTTCAGATTTCTTCACGTTTCTTCTTCGAAATCACCATTTAAAAAATAATTTTAATATACCTCTAAATTATGAAGGGTAACTAAATTTGAGTACCCTAATAATGGATATTATTGTGTCAGGTGAAAATGTGTAGAAAAAATATATATTCTCTTTATCTAAAAGATTTAGTTACAGACTCCTAAAATCTATATTCCATGCAAGTGTGGAATGACAAAGTTTATGTCAAGATTTGACGTGATTTCTTTATGCTGGATATGGATGAGTGGATAAGCCTAAATTTGAGTGACGCAACTACTGGGTAGTAGGGTGTCATTGTCTTTGAATGTGGCGAAACAGAGAGGTGCGTGATGAAAATTATCAAAGACCGTTTCTTTAAAGTGCTCACATTTATCACCAGATTAAGGAGTATGAGAAATCGTTGAGTATCCATCATATTGTGATTGGGAGGGAGAGGGAAGAGGTTATCGTTGAGTATCCATCATATTGTGATTGGGAGGGAGAGGGAAGAGGTTTCTTTCAAATGGATGCATCTAAAGGATAATTGAGTTAAGTTGAATACAGATGGAGCTAGCAAGGAAAGTGAGAAAGTTGGGTGTGGAGGAATTATAAGGGATCATCAGGGGGTTCCGAAGAGAGGTTTTGCGAGAAATATTGATAATTACAATGCTAAGCGAGCATAGCTTTGAGAGATTATGGAAGGATTAACTATGACGAGTAGGATGGGATTCTTGAAGGTGAAACTTAACATTGTCTTTAGTGTTATTGCAGAAACATTGAGAGCTAGAAGCACTTTGGATGTAGATAACCATAATATGTTCCTTCGTATTTATAAGTTAATAGATACTCATGAAGAGATCTCAATTAGTCATACTTTCAGGGAAACTAATCAATGTGCTGATGTGCTTGCTAATATTAAAGTTGATATAGTGGAGGATATTGTGTTTGGTGAAAATTTTCCCACATGCATTACTCAATTGGTGGATGGAGATTTATCAGATGTTTTTTTCTCTATGTTTGTAATTGTATAGTTTCCTTCGGGCTCGGGCCCTCTTTATAACCAAAAAAAAATTAATTACAAGATGAGTCTTGTACTTATCAACGACTTATTTTTTAAAATCAATTTGCATCATATCAATATATTTAGTTCTTATAATAAAGACCCGTAATAGTATTTACTAGTTCATGGTAGTATTAGTTTACTATTAATGTATAGAATTCTAGATTTTCTAATTGTAACCATATTTTCAAAATATAATTACAAATTACTGTTTTTTATTTTCAAAATATATTTTTAAGTTAATCAAACATATTTCAAGTTCTAAGACATTGTATATATTTTGGTTCAAACAATGATGCTAAATGAACATGTCAAACACAGACATGCCTATAACTCACTATAACTTTTTAGATCAATTTTTGTTAGAACCTTAGAAATAAAACAGACCAAGCTCATGTATTATAATATAATAGAATAAAAAATCATGAGAGGTGTCTTAAAAAAGATATAGCATGTTCAAAGAGTTTTCAACTTTTGAGGGGTGCAGCTGCACCCTCCCGCCCCCATGTTCCTCCGCCACAGATAACTGCTAAGCCCGAGTGCAATGGTTGCCATAGTTATTCTTTCAACCACTTTATTTTGAACACAGAGTGAACCAATGTGAATGCATCTCACTATTTCATTTTGTGAACCATTGGTTAAAGATGGATCTGTTATACTTGCGGTATAACGTACTGTTTTCATTTATATATTAGTTTATTCTCTCTTAGGATCAACTTACATTTATTTTGTGAGGTATAATATTACTGCGAAGCACCAACAGTTTTGATTTTTGGTGTCAACATAGCAGCTCTCTTATATTTGTGATTGTACCCTCCCTCCAGCACCTGCTCAATGGCATAGATCACCAACTATAATTCTAACCTTCATATGTTTAGTTATAAGCAATAACATTTCCATGCATGCTTTTTCATTGGCATGGAAGAAATAGTAATGAGATAAGGACTTACAAAGCTAAGTAAATCTTCCATAATCTGCTCATGAAGAAAGAAGGACACGCTTCACCAATCACCATCACCTCCCTAAAGGGTATTTTAGGTTTACAAATCTGCCCTTTTTTGTCCCTAGGTCGGTATCTATCGTAGCACTCGAAAATTTAAAGGAAGTGAAGATAATTCAAGAGGTAGAGAAAGATTAATTAACTACATTTACCTTATATATAGGGGATAAAGATGTATCCTTCCCAGCCTGATGGTTTTGAAGAACCTGTTGACTAGAGAAATAGATATATTTGAATCAAATTAGCCAGAGAGATAACAACAGCCCAAAAACTTAAAAGGTTTATATATTGCTCATAAGAACCCATTGATGATGGCATTTTAGTTAGAGCATATAAGATTTTCCTTATTCAAAACTGCAGAATGTTTGGATTAGAATTTAAAAAGTTGCTCTAATAATTATGATCGATAGAGAAAAAGTATCCAACCAATATTATAGCAAGAAAAGTGAAAACTGGAAGTCATTGTATAAGAAATTTTGGGGAACAGAAGTAGCCATGCAGAGATAAAATCGTAGAGCTAACCCATCGCCGGGGCATTTTGAGAAAACAAATGACTCAAAGATTGATTATTGGTAGAGTGTGCAGCAATAATAAAGTAATGTAGGCGTAATAGTAATAGGAATGAAATAAAATGAAAGGAGATCTGATTGCTTGTGAAACCAGTTTTAACAAGAGATTAGGCAAGGTGAAATAGGTTGGCGGACGTGAAATTAAGGAATGAGCATATGATTGATTACCTGCAAATTGCGACAGTTACACTGAAAGATGTATGAGCGATTAAATTCAAGTAAAAGGAACGCCTCCAATCCACATCAATTGAAGTTTCATCAATTAGGCTGCTCAACTGGTAGAGAAAAATTTAAAAAATGAGTCGGCAGAAATGGAAAGCCTATAAATAGACACCTTCATGCTATCAATACTTATCACAATCCAGTGAGCAGCTAATATGAAGCTTAAGCACACAAGGTGGTCTAACTGAAACAAATTTATAAACTGAAGCTTATGCACACAAGGAAATCCTATAAAACTAAAAATACTAGTATCATTGTATCAAATGTATAGGAAGGACAGACACACACAATTTGAAGATAGTGTTTAAATAAATTTGAGCAGCATACAATTTGAAGATACTGAATTTGAGCAGCATACAATTTGAAGATACTGAATTTGAGCAGCATACAATTTGAAGATACTGAATTTGAGCAGCAGCATGATATATTAATGAATGAATTTACCTTAGGTGCCCACCTGCGTACAAAATAAGGATCAAGACTTTCTGTATCGTAATTGGAAGCAGAACCTCTAGAAACCTGTGTTGTGATATCAACAATTATGCTTCTTACAGGGAAAATAGTGGGAAATAAATAGAAAAGAGGAGATTAATTATACCAATTTTCTAACGAAGAAAACGAGATCATCATCTTGGCGACCCCTAGATTCTTTTCCGCGAACAAAATACAAATCAAAAACATCATTCCAAAACTTCATATCCATTTCAACATCAGGAGCATCTTGTTGATCTTCAACAACGGTTCTCCCAATTAAATTTGAGTGCTTCTTCACCATGCTCAACAATTCATATCTAAAAAACAATCTCTTAATTTTCATTAATTCAATTCCATGGTATGATGTGAAGTTGCGTGAATGAATAAAAGAGTGCGATTGTGAATGTACCTTGAAGGGGTTTCGCCTCCATCGCCAACGCCAAGCATTTTTCTAAATCTAAAATTTTGTTTCAGTCGGTGAAATTAGAGTTAAAATTATGAAGGATCAAGAACAAGTTCTCAATTTGTTGCCAAAATTTCATTGACGACTGAAGAGAGATGAAATTAACTGTTGGGACGTCAGCGAATACAAACAACCAACACTTACCACTATTACAAACAACCAAACATCAAGTCGTTGTAGTATAGTGGTAAGTATTCCCGCCTGTCACGCGGGTGACCCGGGTTCGATCCCCGGCAACGGCGTTATTTTTATGAATTTGATTCCAAATTTTGCTTCTCACATTGGCCTTGCGGAGCTTAAATTGAATTGCACCTGGAGCAAACAAATTTACTTGGAATTGTCAAATTATTGCAAATATTTGATTTTATCTTATTTATATATAAAGTTACATGTAAATGGTTGTGATATATTATTTTTTATTTACAAATATATGCTTTAAATCTTCAATAAAATGGATAAATATTCATAATCAAATTTTTATTATTGATTTTATTTATAATAGCAGTATCGATGAGATAAATTATTAATTGTGAGCCGTTGTTTCTCTATAGTTTTTTAAATACTTGTTCGTCATTGGATTGTGGCGCCATTACATTCTTGTTTTCTTTATTCAATTATTTTATTGCTTGAGCTTACAAATAATCTAATTTATCACCCGAGAATGTTCAACAACCAAATTAGTTTTAGTCAATGTATATGTAGTCGAACCAAGGTTAATTACACCAAGAGCATCTTAATGCCAGCTAGACAAATCTTTTTCAAACACAAAGAATCACAAAATTTTGAAAAGTGTCACAATCAGCCATAGACGCCTGGAATTCGATTATCCATGTATATAAAGTGTGTTTCATGTTTTTAGCTCCCATGAACTAAAACAAATATTTTTTTCTAGAGTATGATCATAAGTGCTAACACACATGTGGATAAGGGAATATAAATTTTATGAGATATGGGGAAACAAGTCAAATGGTAGCCGTCATTTTCAATCGGTAATAGGTTGAAAGACGCGTCACCCACAAGAATAGTTGAATAAGGATGTTACCGATAACGCTAAATTATACCGTATATTCGACTTGACTCGCATGCATTTTAGTACCGTTTTCATTTATTTATGTCTTGTTATGTCGGTATTGCTATTATATTTCAGGTACAATCTAACACAAAGCTCACATGCGGAAAAATGACAAGATATGGCGAAGAAACAAGAAGAATGGAAGAAAAGAGCAGAAAAATAAATTCCTGAAGCTGTGGCCCTCGCCACAGCTAGTATGCCACGTTTTCTATTTTTAAACGGTGGCCCTCGCCACAGTGTGAGGCCCTCGCCACATCAGTAATTCACACCAACTTTTCTAGTTTTTCTCCACGAACCCAGTCTTCCTGATTTTACTCCATAAGCCCACTTTTCCTGATTTTTCTCCATGAACATCATGAAAATCTAGGTCACTAGCAGAGGGGGTATAAAGTAAGGAAGGAGGGGGTTTTGTGGGGGGATGGAAGTTTTTAGATTTTTATTCTAGGCAGAAAAATTAACTATTGTAAAAGCTGCAGTTTCTCACGTCGAGGGACTGCGGCAACTTAGAATTAGGAGCTTTATTTGTGTACTTGGAATAACAATTCATCAATCTTGCCATCATTCCCAATTTAAATTCAGTTTTATTTCCAGCTTTAATTTCAGGTTTTATTTTATCTATTTATTTTATTACTGATTATTCAATTCAGTTCCAATTTTTATCATTTGGTAATTTCTGATTTATTAATATTGATGCACTTTTATTTTCCAGTCCAGTTTACGTATCAGTCACTACACTTATTTAGTCGAAACAAGTTTTTCCGTTCCAATTACAATTTTATACTGGTCGTGTTTACTGGTATATGCACTTGCACATGTTCATCTAAATTAAACACAATATATTTTCCGCAATTATGTCTGACTATATTGTTTTGAGTTCGGTATGTAAGGACTGTCGTTTCCGACAGGACTCGCTAACAACGTTGGCTTGGTAATTTAGTTGGAAAAAAATGTTTTGGTCTTTGTTTTTAAACTCAATTTAATTAGCTTTGTCACGAGAGTGAGAAGTTACTTAACACGATTTTGTCACGAGAGTGAGAAATTAACTAAGGTTTGAGCCGGCGCTGCGAGAGCGTGGGGGTTGAACCTGTAACACCCTGTTTCTACTCAACGGATTATATAAAATCAGAGTTACAAAATTTCCAACAAACAAATGGAATGCTACACTTCCAGC